TGTGATGTTTTAACCAGATCAAATTCTGTTTTAGTTCATCATTCCTATTCAGTTCAGACAATTGGGATCCCATTTGATATGAATGGCTGGCTTCTGATATGAGACAACGTTCTTTATGACTTCTGAAATGCTTTTTCTGGATTATTTCAATATTGTTAAAATTAGTTTTGTGGCCGGATTCTCCCATAGTGTGTAGACCTATGACTGATGGTTTTTCAAGCTTTTATAGTTCAACTGGACTTATTTCATAGTGGTAGAACAGTTGTTCTACGGTGTTCTTTTCTTCGACACTTGAATTCTCGCGATGTCTGTCCGATGTATATCGCAGCCCATTCCAAGCAGGCATTTTATTTTATAGACACAATTAGATAGAGAATCGCTAGGGATTTGATCTTTTATATGAACAAATTTGCTTCGCAGTTTGTGATGTTTGAGGAAAAATCTGATGTCGTGCTTATTGAGTACTCTTCTGATATTGTCTGACGTATCTCATCTATATGGAATGACCACTGTTGAAGTCCATGTTTTCGGAATACGTTTTCAATCATACTTAATGTCAGTATTGATTTTGATTAATGAAAATCTTTGGACAGTTGTTTTGCTTGAGAGCCTCAGTAATGTTTGATATTTCTTCTTCTTCCGGCTTTTCTTTTTCACCCGATGATATCAGAGAGTGTGCTCGTCTAAGAAGACTTCAAGCAACTGATACTTTTGCGCTTATAGGATCTAAATTCTGAATATTTCTTGGAGTGGGTGGGTTTTATTCCTGAATATAAATATACTAAAATGTCCATTTTCCTTCCTCTTAACTAGACAGTTTGCTTCCAAAGTAAACTGGATTCTAGGAGATAGATTGTTTACTAAATAGTGAAACATCTGTAAAACCAACAATATCGTTTCGCTTTTTTTTTCATTCATTGGGAAATACAAAACATCTTTATTATAATGACTATCATTTACCCAATGCCCAAATTTTTTTTCGAATTGTTAAAAGTGAACTTGGTTTGAACATTTATAATGAAGAATATTCTTTACAATAAATTCTTTCCAGATTCTTACAAGTTAGGGGCGAGAAAATGTAGGGATTCGGTTTGTTTCAGGTTTGGCCACGAGCTGACTAACTAACTAACTAATCCTTGAAAATTAACCTGATACACACTAGTGACTAGCTATGGAACAATGTTGACTAGAATAGTTCTATGGAAATATTGTGGTGGGTGGAATCCACCATACTGAACGTGTAAGGACGAATACTGGCCCATGACATTGTTTGGTTGTCGCTCTATAAGCACGAATTAGTAGAGGTTTAGATTCATAGACCACTGATACGGGTTTTAGTGCCTGAATGGTCTACGAGATTTCCTCGTAACCAGTATGCCCATGATTTGAACCCTGGTGGCTTAATAATAATGAAGAAATTAATACTGGGGATGAAACATGCGGTGGATATAGTTTTTATTTATCAACCATTTCGCACCCTACAGTTAATGTTTTATTCCACGCAGAATAGTGTATCCGCTGCAACACTGGCTATTACTACAAAGATAAGTGATATTTTATTTTACAGCTGTAGCAAGCTGAAAACAAAATTTATTCAAAAGAACAGTCTTCGATATTCTCAGATAGACTTTTAATTCATGATGTGAGAATATTTCATATTCAAAAATTGTATTACCTTCGACTGAGTAGTTAAGCCAAAAACTATTGAAGATATCCAACCCTATTTCTGAGTTCAGAAAAGGCTTGTTTCCTCCCCTTACCTCTCCAGCCCAAAGTTCTTATCTTTCTCTCCGTACATATTATTTTTATTTGTACCTCTGTGTTTATCTTGAATGACAATGTATATTTTAGTTTTCATAGTGTGAAATATTCCCATATTATGTGAATTAAAAGTCAATCTGAACGAAGAATATTCTTTTCAATAATTTCTACTCTTCCGGTTCTTACAATTATAAAATATACAATATTTGTTGTCGTTACAATAAAGTAGCCAGTTACGTTATGCGGTGGATACATTTTTAACGTAAAATAACAGATTAGTGGTTATGGGGTGTCAAAATAAATAATCGTATTTGTATGACAAACGTGCTAGTTGGCTGAAACCGATTACCAAAGTATTGTAAAACGGGAGACAATGACGGTGGTGATTAATCATAATAGATTTGTAGAGTATGCGGTAGCAAAATTGACAAGTCAGTTCAAGGTTATAGAAGGTGTCAGGTGAGTGGCTAATACAAAGTGGTATGTATTACACAGGAGATAGTAAGACTGCAATAAGAGGCTCATAATGAGATAACGAATATGTTAAATGAAACAGGTGGAGGCATATATACGGAGAAAACAGATAATATCACTAATAATAAGTCCTTCATTTCAAAGTTTATTAAATAAACGAAACATCCTTTTATCTAATCCCTATGAAATAACGGTTATTTCTCCTTTATACCCATAAAAATATCCTCTAAAATATGTCTCTGAACCTTCATTTTACTATCACATTAGTATAAAATGTACCCTATGCTTAATAATCATGTAATCTCGATAGAGAAAGAAAGACCTGATTTGCAGTATGAAATGATTTCATCATTCTATTTCACAGGTTCACACCGACAGAAAACATAGAAATCTAATAAACAGTCTTAGCTTGTACGTCAACATGACAACTCAAGAGGGTTAAAATTTATCAAATTGAAAATTTGCTTAGTGAACCGAGCTCACTAACTTGTATGACTAATCAGTGTAATGAAAGTAATACGGTTACCAAGGTAGTCATAGACTGACTATACTCTCTTTCTGTGTGTGCATAAGTTTGGTCTGAAACGTATAATTTCAATTGTTTCAGCAAAAAAATTGTAGTAAATTCGCTGACCTTTGTATGTTTAGTATTTCGAAGGATTTGGAAATCTCGACAAAATGACTCGTATCCATAAGGTGTCTGGTAATTGCATTTTGTAAATATATCTGCTTCTTTTCAGGCAGAAGTTTTTTATGGAATATGCTCTGAAAACCACATAGATCCGATTTTTTTGTCCGTAAATTTATCACTGCAGTCGCGGGTAACATCAGCAGGGTACTTATCCAGTTTCTATTGGCTTATAGAGCATGTACTGCTATATAATGTCACTAGCTTAGCTGCAGGGAAGCATCTCTTTATTGCTCCTCTTGTCAATCTTTTATGATACTGCTTCTCCTTTGTATGGGTGGCAAATGAACACTTTCTTCTTTTCAACTGTCGGATACTTCACATTCTCCTCCTTTTCTTTGCTGTAATTTAGGACAAATCGTTTTGGATACCCATTTTTTTTCAGGCATTTTTCAACAAACCTTATTTCTTCTTTTACCTTACTGTAAGAAACTAACTTCCTGGCTCTATCGTAATTGTAAAGTCAGAAAAAAACATCTTTGCCTACATTATATTCTTTCATTATCATTACAATATGCGTCATTAGTTCAAAGCCAGGGTACCCACCAACCACGTCTCACCAAGTCCAGGATTCAATTCCCAACTGAGACACTCCTAAGCCTCACCTAACCAACAGAAAGCCAAGTAAAGAGGAGAGGTTTGGCAAGAAGCGACAAAATACATGCTACAGAATAATAACAATACAAACATCTTTATTCTGGACAGTATTTTTATAATGTACAGAATTTTCAGAGGAGTCTATTGCATGATATTTTCCCATCGTACAATATCTTCAAGTAAAGTATTAATTGACAGTGTATGACACAATGATCTCTGAGCTGAAGAGGCACAAGCCATTCCATTATGATGTATATTTGCTCTGTCTCCTTCAAGGAATCCACGATATGTTGTTGAAAACCAATTGTAAGATGTTCAGAAGCGCATTTTAGACCCAGTTACATAACAAAAAAGCAATAATCTCATGTATTGAAACACGTTGCTACCGGCAATCAGACCATTCCTCAAGTTTAGTAGGAACTTAAGAATCGTACAAATGAACTGTCGTCAAGATTTGACAGAATAGTTGTAAAATATTTGGGTGCCGATTGCAAAGTAGACATTTATAAAAGAAATTATATTTGTAAAATCTCAGCGAGATTAAAATGAGTAATTCCAGAGTTTCGTTTGGCGATTTCAATTAATTACCCTGAGGAAGTTCGGACCAGATTGTCAAATGAAACGTTGGAATGACTCATTTCAATCTAGCTGAGATTTTACAAATATAATTTTTTACACACTTGAGAATCAGTCGATATTAACACCGTTAGAGGTTATATTTTAATCATTTAAAGCAAACCGAACGAGGGAAAATATGTGCAATAGAGAGAGAGAGAGAGATTAGAGTTTTTTGTCAGCCCAACTTTTAATCAGGCCGCCAAACAACTCCACGGCTACTAAAAATTCACAGCTTTAGATTTGAAGCTCTGTGATCCTGTGAAAATGCAACATGAACAAACAGGAAGAGTAATTATAATAAGAATATTTAGAACATGTGTAATTTGTGGGGATTTGAATTAACTGCACGGCTGGATTTCGTCACAAATCTATGTCATTTCGAAAGCTTACTGAAAACCACTTAGGCAGCACTGAACAGTTGTATCGTCCTAGTTGAAGAGACTCTGAAGCAGTGCTCGGCCACAAACCTAACAGCAAGAGATCGAACCCATTGGAAATTCAAATTAAGAGATCGAACTTGTTGGCAAACCAACCACTCGACCTGAGAATTGTAACTTTGTCAACCCATGATACAGCCTTATCCTCATCAGTGTATTTTATTTGAGCCAAAACATAAACTTAGCTAAGTTAGAATGTCACTACTCATTGAATCCTGGGTGAAATGCCTGAACTGTCATCAATCTTGGCAGTATATAACCTGAGGGTTCCAAGATCGGTATTTGTTAGGTGATGGTGGTTTGGTGTCTCTGGAATATCCCAAAAAGGAGTTGGAAACTACTATCTCCATAAAATGCTGTAATTATTTTCATACTACTCATAAGTAATAAATGTCGAATACATATAAAAAACAGAGATAACTCACTTTTAAAATAATCACTTTCATTCTTATACCTTTCCATGCACATGAAAACGTATAAATCCATGTTGAGAAATTTTTAAATTGTGCTATTTTTATTAATCAGTTTATTTCAGTCAATTCAATGGAATTAACTGGGAAATTTGGGCAATAGTATTGATCGAAATGTAGTTATTCCATTATTAATTAGTGTTATGTATTTTCCTCAAAAATGTATAGTTATCCTCAAGTTTAAGTAAAATTCCCAATTAATAAAATGAATGATATTCACATGAACACTGAAAAAAATGCTTCTTCTCAAGATAAATCACACAGGTTTCGTTCCTAATTGTGTTTGAAAGAGGATTCCAGAAAATTATGAGGCTTCAGTAAAAGTGCACATCCAATTATATTTTCACTTTATTTTGATTGGTTGTTTCGTATGACTCGAGTTTTGATTGGTTGAATTCTTAGAGAGTACTGTGTGAGCAAATAGAATGTTAAATTCGAGTATTGGTATGCAAGGATTTGATTGATTGGTTTTAGGATTTCATCATAAACTGACATCGGCTAGAGGACCATTGGAAAACCATTTTGGAGTACTGGATGGATAGCTGTTTCGTCACAGTTTGGCATTCATCATCATTGGGCTTCTATGACAAGGGTCCGAGGCTACCTAGTAGACCATTAAGTCACTGGGACCCAATGCAATGACTGGCTTATGAATTTCAATTCATGGTATAGCATGACTGGCACTCGCTAATGTCATCGCTGGCGAGTATTTGCCCTCATGGCCGACGTTCTGTAACCAGAAGTTCCTAGGTCCGAACTCCAGTGAATACTCACCAATAAAGAGTCCGGAAGCAGGACAAAACAGCTGCCCAGTACTCCTCACTGGTTTCTCAATATGTTATCTAACCGATGCTGGCTCATGATGAAATCTTGTAATCTTAAATGCTACAAATTTCCACTGTAAATCATACTGTTGTTTACGAAATGAAACTATTATAGGACACTCCACATAACGTCATATTTACTCAAGTTTCGAGAATTGAAAACGTCTAAAAGTGAAGATAAGGTGAATCTAGTATTTTTATGGTGAAAATAAAACAAGTAGTTTGGCGAAGAGGCTGTCTCCAGCGAATTCATTTTCCTCTTTGGTTGTACAATCACATTTACAGACAATCTCTTGTTCATGAAAGTGAAGTAGGAAATAAAGTGATAAATCGTCACAAGCATAATTAGACAAATGACTAGTAATTCAGCGAAGAGTCTATTTTTGGCGAATTCAGTTTTATAGCTTTACTTTTGCAAATATACATGGTTGTTTTGTATGTGTGTGTGTGTACACTAAATTTGTCAAACGAAAATACAATTGGTAAGTTCAGATAGGCTGGATGTTGACATAAGAGGGTAGTAACAATGCTGCATGCCAAGTAATCCACAACGGGAAACTTACGAAAGCCTTCGAAGTGAGGACGGGAGTGCGACAAGGCTGTCTACTATCACCAATGATCTTCCTGATTGCAGTAGATTGGATAATGCGACAGACAACGGCAACCAACGAGGGAACAGGCATAAAATGGACTGACACAAAAGACTTGGAGGATCTGGATTTCGCCGATGATATATGTCTGATTTCCCACAAACTGGAAGATATGCAAGTGAAAAGTAACAAGTTGGCAGAAGAAGCATCAAAGATAGGACTTCACGTGAACATAGATAAAACAGAGATAATGAAGATTCCTAGCCAACATCAACAGCAACACCAACAACAGACAACAATCAGCCTGCACAAATGGAAAGAACCTGTAAGAAACAACCTATTTTACATACCTGGTAAGCATCATTTCAACTACAGGCGGAACTGACGAGGATCTCAAAGCCAGAATCGGAAAAGCAAGATAAGCTTTCATTACTCTCAAGTCTGTGTGGAGGTCAACAGCATTCACCATGAAAACGAATATAAGATCCGAATTTTCAACTCCAATGTGAAGTCAGGGCTATTCGCTATACGGATCAGAGACTTGGCGCGTCATAAAGAGCATCTCAAACAAACTTCAGACCTTCATTAACAGCTGTCTTCGCTCAATACTCAAGATCAGATGGCCAGAAAAGATCAGCAACAGGGATCTCTGGGAGCGAACCAATCAGGAACCGATTGTGAAACAAATAGGCAGAAAGAAATGGAGATGGATTGGCCATACGCTGAGAAAACCATCAAGTGACATCACTAGACAAGCCATTGCTCGAGTGGAAGCCGAAAGGGAAGCGGCGAGTTGGTCGTCATTGCAAGGGTGACTTAGAGGAGGTCATGTGAAGAGGAGATGAAAGCATGTGGGCAGACTTGGAGCAGGGTGAAAAAGTTGTCAGAAAACCGAAGGCAATGGAGGTGCGCAGCTGAAGCCCTATGTTCCTCTAGGAACTAAAGGATACAATAATAATAATAACAAAAAGGATGGGTTGTCTTAAACGATTGTTAAAGAAGAGTTATGTAATAATGAAAATAGTTTGATGAAAGAGTTGGCCTCAGGGTGTACATGGAAATAAACAAAATAACATACGGAATTACGCTAGGGTTTTTAAGCAGTTAGAAAAATAAGCATACAAACAAGAGTTAAGTAAAATCAGGCAAACAAACAAAAGTTAAGTCAAATCAATAGAGTTGTTACCATGAGAGTAGAAGTTTTTCTTCGCATGCATAGTTCCGGTTCTTTCAACTGAATAGCTAAGGCTTCTGCAATGCAAAGAATATGGTTGTTCTTCACTTTATAGATAACTTCGAAGCAGGAAGCGTTTGTTGAGATGAAATGGCCAGTGTTGTTTGACGAGATGTTCGATTAATGCACTCCTTCTACGGCCACTACTTCCTCTCTGCAGCCATGCTGGATAGTGTTCTTCGGCCCTATTTTTGACAGGATACACGTTGAACGACCGATGTACCTGGCTCCACAGCATCAGGTGAACTGATATTTACACGTAGAAGTGGTCAGGTGTGGGATGTTGTTGTTGTTGTTATTACTAATATTAGTCAGTGCATGAGGGGAGTATGAATACATTAACTACAGGCTATTGATAAGATGAAAAATCTAATGACGAATGAGTTGTAATCACAATGCACATAGTAACGAAGGAAAATATGAAATTACGAAAGAATTCCAAGGATACACAAAAGTTAGGAGGCGTCAGAAACAAACAAACTAAGAAACAAAACTGAAGTCATTATGAATTTTAGAAGGCTGTTACCTTGACAGCAGGAATGGTTGAATAATTTGTCTTTTGCATGCATAGCCTAAGTTTATCGACTTGAAAGGCTGGAGCCCCAGCAGTGCTAAGGAGATAAAAAGGAATTTTCGTTGCCAGGTTATTCTTCAATTTGTAGATTACTGCGTTGATGGCACAGCGGTTACGACTCTCGCTGATCATGAATATGGCCCGGGGTCCGATCCCCTGCCGACGCACACCTGATATCTATGGTCGGCCTGCAAAATTTGGACTACCGACATCACATGCTGAAAATTCCATACATGTACTGAACATACGGTGTGGAATCAAGCTGTAATCACAAAATTACTATAAAGGAGTCTTGGAATGATTAGCGTTGACAAAGTGTTCAGTTATCGCACACCTTATAGAGAGAAAGCCACTGCTCCTTTTGTTCAACCATGCGGGATAGTGTCGAACGATAAATATACCTGATGCCAGGGGAACAGGTGAAATAAAACATGCATATAGGAGTGGTTAGATGCCAGACGCTTGTCCTTAAGGCTTCTACAGCATAATGAACGGCTAAATAATACCACTCTTAGCGTTGATGTGAAGAATGTTTTTCTCAAAGATGTTGAAATTCTTTGTTAAAGGATATAGCAGGTCAATTATCCGTAAATTTTGCATCCATCTAAAGTTCCTCTGCTAGGAAAGGTAATGTTTTGTTTCTGTCAACTTCTGGTCTGATTACTGATATAAGAATAAAAATTGTGCACTGTGGTAGAGTGTAATTCCATTATGGTTAAATTTTGTTTTGATAAAGTTTCACAGTGTTATACAGTAATGATTACTGATGACCACGTTTCGAGGACACAATTTATTACTGCTCGTAATCATATCAAGGTACTCACACGACTTCCTTACTTCATTTATATAGTTCCATTATTTTTCACTTGATTTTCGCTTGATTTTATTGGTAGTAGTATTTTCCATATTTCCTATTGCATGTGTTGGGTGTAGACTCAATGAACCAAGATTCAATAATTAACCTCTCTCTGCACCTATCTAGATTACTTTTTAGAATTTTAACCCTCTCCCATCCTATTGTATGGCTGTGTGTCAATGCATGCATTGCAATTGCTTAGCTTTTTTCCAAATTACTTATCTTCCCGGGTGGGGTCAACCATTCCTACCTTGGCTAAATTCTTATGTTCCTATAATCTGACTACCCATGACCTTTTAGTTTGACCTATGTAGCTGACCTCATAGTCATTGCAGAGTATAAAACCAAGCGAAAATCAAGTGAAAAATAATGGAACTATATAAATGAAGTAAGGAAGTCGTGTGAGTACCTTGATATGATTACGAGCAGTAATAAATTGTGTCCTCGAAACGTGGTCATCAGTAATCATTACTGGATAACACTGTGAGACTTTATCAAAACACAATTTACCCATAATGGAATTCTTGTTTGCTTGATTTGTCAGTAAATTTCCACGGGCATCCATTCTGCATGAAGCTTCCTCTCAGGAAGTCGAGTCCTGTTTCTTAGATATCAAGGCGACAGACAGACAGACTGATTTCATGTGAGTGGTGAGGGATTTAATTACATTTCATATTTGTACAACAGATATTTGTAGGCGATTAGCAGGAAATCTTGTCAGACCTAAGTTTCGTGCTTGTTGGCACTCATCAGTCAGCGAGGCATATCCGTAGTCTTGAAGAAGCACATTTCTCCTCTGAGATTCGAAGATATATTACCTGACTGGCATAGCTAGAGACTTTTCCTCTGAGGTAATACAGCTGGGGCGATTTACGGCTTCTTGTAGGACTGTAATGGATACTTTGACTGGACATTTAGTAGTAAGTTTGATGCACACTGAATTCTATCAGTGAATAAAGAATATTCTATTCGATAACTTTGTCTTCGTTAGGTTCTACAGTTATATGCACCCATAATCATTCCTATTTCATTTCCGATATTTGGATAAGACGCCTATCCCTTATCAAAACTGATCTGGACGGGGGTGAAGGGTAATAAAACCTCAATCCAATGAAGTACATTCACTTATCAAATTCATGTGTGAAGATGAAATTCATAGTAAATTTGCCTTTTTTCGACGTTCTACAAAGAAGAAAACCAGACGTTCTAATT